CATTATTTTTTTTTGAGAAAGGGTCTCTCTTTGTGGTTCAGGCTGGCCTTGAACTCACTGTGTAGCCCAGGCTGGCCTCAGACTAACAGCGATCCTCCTCCCTCAGCCTCTGAGTGCTGGGATTACAGGTATGCACCACCATGCCCAGCTCCATGTATTTTAATAGCAGTGATTCTGAAGTGTAGGAGGGTTGAGAACCACTAGCCAATGGCTGTGTGGCATGGAACTTCTCCCACACAGAGCCATCCAGCCAGGGTCCTCTGTCTCACCCCCTCCACCAACCTCAGAGGTCCTAACCTCAGGGGGTACTTGGACAACATTCACGTACCCACCACCAGCCCGCTTCTCCCAAGAATGGCAGACAGGGAAGTTCATGGTGTCTGTATCCCCGTTTAGGAGACCTGAGTCTGACAAGCCCTTTGTTGACAGATAATAGACCCTTCTCTACTCTGCTGGTCCTACCCAGGGCTCTATCAGGACCCCCTGGAGTGAGTCTTCTGATAACCAACTTCCGACCCCAGCAAATTCCCAACTCCTCCAGCCACTGGCAGCAGGCTGTCCCCATGGGATGGGGCATTTACTCAACCACTAGGAAATCAGCTGCCACATTGACAAAACAGGGGCTTTAAAGTCTCACACAGGAGGGTTCAAGGCAGGCACTACCAGCTTCTTAAATGTGTTTCCTTGGGCAGGTCATTTCTCTGTGTGAACTTCAGTTTCCCTTTGCACTGTACAGTGAGTTGGGAGGAGGAAATAAGAACTACTGCTGTTTTTGGGCACCCAGTTGGTCCTGGCTGCTCCTTGTTGCCTAGGCAATAGGATGCCAAGGCTGCACCTGAGCCCACAGGCTGATTGCATTGTTGTCACTTTCTTGTTGATTCTAAGTTTCCACTAGGAATGGAAACCACAAGCCTCCTCTACCAAGTGCTCTCCATTCATAATTTTACTAAATTTTCCTCCCATTTACTTGGGGGATGGAGAGGGCTGTACATTGGAAAAATTAAGCAGCCTGCCTATGGTTCTGTGTATCTGGGATTTGAGTTTAGGCTCCTTGAACTCAGAAGCTTATGGTCTTTCCTCTAGCCCAGTAGCCTCAAGAAAAGGCAGTAGGCAAATGTGCCGTCCAGCCTAGCCTCTTCTTCATCCAGTGTGGACAGAAGGGCCCCTGAGTTCAGGCACCATCTTCAGGTGTCTTATTCACAGATTTTTTTTTCTTCAGGTAGGGGGTCATTCCATGTTGTCCATACTGCTATCTAACTCCTGGGCTCAAACAATACCCTTTCCTTAGCCTCCTGAGTGGCTGCTATATGGGTGTACAGCTCTGTACCCACCCTACTTACAGATTTTGACTGATTGATACCTTACCTACCAAGAAGAACATATTTTAAAACCATGACTATATGATGCAAATAAAGGCAGGAAAAACTGGGGGAAACCAGAGTTAAGGTTAGTATCCAGAATGATTGTTGGGAAGTCCTGTCCAGGGCAGTGGCTGGTCTGGCTCTGAGCACCATAGCTGGTGACAGGAGATATAACAGAGCAGGGGGGCTGGGGATTTAGCTCAGTGGTTTTGCCACTTGCTGCGCAAGTGGAAGGACCCAAGTTTAATCCCCAGTACCGAAAAAAAAAAACAACAGAGTAGGGATTGCAATCTTTGCTGTGGCAGAATTCCTCAGCTCTGGGATTGGCTGGTGGGCTTCCTGACCCCATTATTTTTTTAAGCTTTTTATTTTGAAATATAGTTGTGCCTGCTTAATGACAGGAATATAGTCTTAGAAATGCATCTATTAGGTGATTTCATTATTGTGCAAACATCGTAGAATGTACGTACATAAACTAAGATGGCTCTGACATCACTATGTGATATATTCTGGGACCATCATTGCATATGCAGCCCATCATTGATCAGAATGTCATTATGTGGGTGCATGACTGTAACTACAGATTCACAGGAAGTTAGTCACACAGTCCTGTGGAACCTGGATTAAAACAAAACAAAACAAAACAACAACAGCAAAAACTCCCCAAGTAATTCCATTGTGCAGTCAAGGTCAAGAATCTCTGCCCTCAAACTGGATTCTTACCTTTGGCTGGTCCTGGGGAGTGGGAGGGTGGGGTCACCTGTTGCTTGGATCCCTCTGCCCAGCATCTCCACCCTTTATTCCATGATTGGGGGGGTCTTTCTTTCCTTGTGACTGTGCCCCTCTGAGGTCCATGCCCCTTTGCCTCTGCCACCCTTGGAGCCATCTGAACCCAGCCCTTCTCCTCCTGCAGATGCAGCTGCCATCTTGCTGGATGAGGAGAACAAGCGACCCTGCAGGAAGTTCCTGCTGACAGGTAAAGTGCTCTGCTCAGCTCAGATCCTTCAGGAACTAGCAATGCCCTGTCTGGCCTGTGTGGAATTCTCTAGAGTGTCTTCCCCCAACCCTGGCCATCATCCTGAGCCCACTTTGTAGTGGGCTGATTGGTCAGTCAGGGGCTCCCCAGGGTTGAGCCTTGGACCTTCACAAGGCCTGGTACTCAGCTCCCTAGACCTAGAATGTAATTTTATTACCTCACTTAGAACAACCAAACACTGGAGAGTTTAAGTAAACTCAAGGACTAATAGACTAACTGATTAAATTATCCTGGGAACCCTTCCTCCTGTCGCCTCCTTCCCAGCAAGCAGAGCTGGAGACAGTAACAGGCCTGATGAGCTGAAGAAATTCAGAATCAGAACCAAGGGATGCCAGGTGTCCATTGACTGTTCAGTTCCTAGCTCATAAAAATGAATATAGTTTGGGGCTGGGGATTTAGCTCAGTGGCACTGTGCCTGCCTCACAAGTGCAAGGTCCTGAGCTCCATCCCCAGTATGGAAAAAAATATATGTATATAGTGCAAAGAGACAAAGACCTCAGTAAGTGAAGAAAGCAAAGACAGATGAAGTTAAAGGTAGGAGAATTAAGATAAGCTAGAAGAAAAATTAGTCTTCTGTTTGTTCTTGAGGTCCTGTGTACTGCTCTCTAAGGGTTTGGCTCTGAGCTTCCTAGCAGCTAAGGTAAAGAGGGAAGCCATGATGCTTCATATGATTTGCAAGGTAACTTGCCACTGGGGAGAGGTACTGCTGTTGAGCTGGGGAGCTGGGTAAGTAGCCATGCTCTCCTCAGGAGATGTGCTGCCCCCAAGATGGCCACGAGGCCTACAGACCAGGGGCTTCCCCACAGACTTGGCCTTGATGTGCATATGCCACTGCACATCATAGGTTATATGGCCTAGGATACCATCAGACTCCTGTAATTTCAAGACACATTTTTGTGTCCTTGGTTGAGATAGGAAAAACCACTAAAACTCTAGCTCCTCTTCGGCAAAGCTGCCATTAACACCTTTCTAAGCAGTAGTCCAGCTGCTTTTGCAAGCCAGGTGAGGAAGCAGGGCACCAAGTGGAGACACAGCATAGGCAGTGGCCTGGAGTAGAGAAAGGGAGCATGGTTCTTACGTAAACCTATACTCAGTTCATGAAGGCAAGCAGAGAGGAGGGGCTGGAGTTGAGAGACAGCCTGCAGAGGCTTGTGTTGCCCAGTCCTGTCAGGCTTTGGTTAGATTGGATCCTCAGCATCAGGGAGTGCTGCAGAGGATGAGCAGGACATGATGATTGCTGAGTGTGGGCATAGCCTGAGAGAATCTAGTGTTTAGACTAGGGTTGCTACTCTAGCCCCTGATATCATGCCCCTACAACTCTAGGACCCATCATCAGGATGCCCACAGCCCAAGATGACAAGTAACTATCATCCTGAGTGGGAAATAACACTGTCTTCCCATTGCAGGCCAATGTGACTTTGGCTCCAATTGCAGATTTTCTCATATGTCAGAGCAAGACCTGCAGGAGTTAAGCATCCAGGTGGAGGGTATGTTGCAGCAGGGACTCTGGGTGAGGTGGAAATGGGGTGTAGGGAGCGGGTGTGGGATCTGAGACCAGGGAAGCTGCCCTGCACCTCTCTACCTCTTCTTCACTGGCAGCCACCATAGAGAGTAGGCCAAGGGCTACCCAGGATGAGGGCCCTGAGTTCCACTTTGAGGTGAGTGTCAGGAACTGGGCTGTGTCCTCAGAAAGTGAGGCATACATGGTTTCCTACCCAGGAACCCTGAGAGTGTGCCTCAGCCCCATCCAGCCCTGCTGCTAACCAAACAGTGGTTGTCCCTGGGTGCCTTCCCTCTCTCCTTCACTCACTCAAACAGGCACCTAGGAATCTCTGCTTGACCCCAGGCAGATCCCCCACAGTGCTCTGGGGACAGGGGGATGAAAGAAGCACTCTTCTTGCCCTCCAGATCCTCACACCCTGGTGATTTCACAGAGAAGTGAATTCAGCTTCTGTGGAAACTGGCATGCCTGCCTTTGAAAAATCCCCTGCTCACTTCCCAATAACAAAACAAGGAAGTTCTTAGTTAGATAGTCTTTACTGTTCTTCTGTAGCTCCTCCTTGGCAGGTGGAGGGAACACAGCTGCATTCAGGCAGAGGGCCTCAGGTGAGCCTCACTGCAAGTGGGAGGTAGAGTCCAGGTTCCCAGGAGCCACCACCACTCTTCTGTCTCCAGTGGCTTCAGGGCAGCCAGCACCTGTCTGGACAGCTTGGTCTTGTCCCCTGATAGGCCTAGATCCCCTCTGCCAAGTCAGACCCTGAGGGCATCACACCCTCCCTGAAGAGCTGATGGCACTGTATCTGTAGCCCTGGCAACCACACAGGGTTTTCAGGAGCTTTCCCAGAGCAGGGGCAAGGCCTCATGAGACCATCCAGCAAGTCCTGGCAATGGTAGCATTACCAGCTCTTTGCTTGCCATGGACTCTGGGAATGGTTGGCTCACGGTGGGGAGAGCACAGGCCAGTGGGCCTGAGCTGGAGACCATGTCTAGTGGAGACAGCTAGGGTGGGGCCCAAGCGAGCTGGCAGTTTGGACAGCCCTGACTCTCCCAGAGCCCTTAGAGTCTTGGCTCATGGCTGACCGTCTTGGAGGAAGTGTCCTGACCTGTCAAACATGACTGTTGACAAAATGAAGTGAGCAAGGCATGGTAGTGCATACCTGTAATCCCAGCAAGCAAGACCTTAGTAGCAAGATCTTGTCTCAAAATAAAAATAATGAAAAAAGGTTTGGGGATGTAGTTAAGTGCAAAGGCCCTGGATTCAGTCCCTGGAACCACATAACACACATGCACGCGCACATGGGGACGCACGTACAGGATGAAGAGAGGTGATGCCTGTGCTGTTAGCCCAGAGCCTGGCCCCAAGGGAAGGTTGATCTATGAGTTTGAATGGCCCAAGGCCCCATCACAGACCATCTTCTGACAAAAACACCTGCTTACACCTGTCCATTAATTGCTTGGTTTTAGTTCATAGAGCAACATTTTTTGGGGGGCCAGTGTATGAGATGAAATCACTCAAGTTTCATCACTTTGCTTGGGGTCAAAGACCTTGCAAATGGCAGAACTGAAAATTCATCCATGTTCTATAGCCCGTGTTGCCTCTTGTACCCCAGATTTGGACCCCTCCTGAGGGCTAGGTTCTTTACATACACAATCCTATTTCCAGCTCCTCAAAGCTTGAGGGGGCAGGCAGTGTTGTGACCCTTTGATGAGAAGCAGAATGAGGCCCAGAATGCTGGGTCACAGTATGAAGATGGGCTGAGGAAGTAGCGGCATGGAGGGGACATGCCAGCAGTTCTGCTCTGTGTCTTCCTTAGAAGGTTGCTGCAGCACCCCAGGTCTTTCCCAGGGCCTGCCAGTTTCTGCTGCTTTGTGGGAGGCTGGACTTTGGCCAGGCAGGATTGTGCCCCTCACTTTCCTTTGTCTCCCTATCACCACAGAGGAGAGGCGGGCCAGGGAGTGGCCACTGGAAACCCCCGAGCTCCCTGAGGGCCATCTGGAAGACTGGCTGGAGAAGAGAGCCAAGAGGCTGAGCTCAGCCTCAAGCAGCAGGTATAGGCCCCAGGGTCCCCTCCCCTCGCACCCCAGCCAATCTGCTCTTTGTTGGAGCTGAAGATTCTCTGTGATCTTCCCAAACATGAGTAACTGCCCCCACTCAGAGCTCCCTGAGAGTGGGGCATATTTGAGGCTGTTAGGTTCCCAGCCTGTGGCCAGAAGGGGTATACTTTGAAGGTGCCTGTTCTCTGGTTCCCTCATTTAGTAGCTCATCCCTTTACTGGAATGTGGTGGCTAAAGGAGAGGCAGGTAGCCAAACAAATATGACTCCACACCTCTAAGTCTATTGCTAGAGGGAGGGGCCTGAGCTGTAGTGGCCGAACACCCAGTGTTCTAAGCAACTTGTTACCTGCTACCCTCTCTCCTCTATGGTAACCTCAGAAGGGGAAACACGGTCCCAGGAGTATCACTTGCTTAGGTGCACATACTGTTAGGAAGAGGCAGAGCACGGATGGCACAGGGATGTGACAAGGTCATTGTTCACTGCCCCCCTAAGGAAGGGGTCTAAGCCCTCAGGATGGTCAAAAGTGGGTAGGAGCCCCTTACCGCTTATGTGAGGAACACACTGGGTCAGGGCCCCTTGAGGGGTGGGGTGCATGCCATCCCAGTTCCTCCCCTTTGGAGGAGAGGGACACAGCAGACAGAGGCACAGAGGCAGGCAGGAGCTTCCACAGTCATGTAGCATCATGGCCAAAAATGAGGCCAGGGCTCCTGGGGTCCCCTGTCGATTATTGAAGGAGAGAAAGGAGGAGGCTAAGGGATGGACTCCTGAGCTGCATGTGACTTTATACCAGTTGTAGTGGGACTTGAGACCCAGTTTATCTCTGGGGTGTGGCCTCATAGGATGGCAGCCTGGCCTGAGCCAGGGGGACTGGTCATAGTCTGTGGGGTGAGGGTTTCCACATTTCAGCTCTGCCAGGTGAAGATTAAGTTTCTTGTTCCATTGAAAAGAGATTACTGCCGAATTTTAAAATTAACTTTGTCTTTCACCTTTGTTTTAAAGTCTTGCCCAGTGTTTGTGCCCTCACCTTAAAAGTACATCGTATAGGAGCCGGGGATTTAGCTCAGTGGTGCCGCCGCCTGCCTTACAACTGCAGGGTCCTGAGTTCAATCCCCAGTACCAAAGAAAAAAAAAGTACATGGTATAGACATGACTTAAATGTTGGAGTGTGGGCTGGGGTGTGGCTCAGTGGTAGAGCGATTCCGTAGCCTGTGGGAGGCCCTGGTGTCAATCTCCAGCACTTAAAAAAAAAAAAAAAGTTGGAGTGTGACATCCCTCCCCTTGGACCAGTCTGAAGGATGTGACTGGTCATGTGGGCTAGTCCTTTTGGGACCAACCAGCATGCAGATATTCAGGACCTGAAGCCCAAGATCCTGTAGCGTGTGTGCTAGAGGGTTAGGGCTGGTCAGAGGCTACCCAGAGAGCTCCCAGGAGTCCCTCTGCTCCCCTACTTCATCCTTCACATCCTTCACATCACAGTGCCAACCAGCTTCTAAAACCCACTCCATCCTGGACCTCCCCCTCCCCCCTCCAAGGCATCTTCCACCTCAGGAGGGCCTGGACTCCACAGTCTGGTTGCCAGGGCCTGAGGGCACCTCCCTGCTTGCTCCCCAACCTGTGGGGCTGTCTGCTCATCTCTTGTATCTGGCCTCTGTCAGTCAGAAGAGATACTTGGCAGTGTCTTAGGTGGGGTGGTCATTTATAATTTAGGGGCTCCCTGTGTGTAGTTTCTTCTGTTTGCTTAAATGGTCTTCTGTCTCCGTGTCTGTACTTGTCAAAGCCCTACTCAGCCTTTGAGCTTTAGCTAGAATATTTTCCTTCCAGCCTCAGCTCCTCCTCCCAGCCTCAAGCAGGGATGGGTGGGCCCAGGACATGGTAACTGCATGAGAATACATTTTGGGGAGCAGGGTCCCCCACCTGGAGGACTGTTACATGGGTGTTTCTGCTATGAATCCCTTGTGGGGACTGGTCTGGGGAATTGGGAATCCCATTTCCTCCCTCTGGGGCACAGATGGCTGGCTGCCTGGCCCACCTGGGGTTCCACCCCCCACCGGCAGAGCAGATCCCCCCCACCCCAGGAGCCGCGCCAACCTTCCTTGTAAACAGGGACACAGAGGCTCCCCGAAGGCTCAGCCTGGCAGCACGCGCTCATCCCCTTAACAGACTGACCCTGAGGGATCAGCCAAGAGCAGACAGTGGTGCGCAGCAGCGGGAGGGAGCAGCCAGCTGGCCTCGGACGCGCAGACTAATCCCTGGCTAGGCTATGCTTGTCCCTGCTTCCATTGTTGGCTCTTCTGATTGGGACTTTATCCCTCTTAATCTCCCCTGTGCACCCTTCTCTGGACTAGTGCTGCTGTTCATGCCCCTCCACCTCCATGAGACTCTATCCTCTTGGTAAGAAGCATGTCTGGGGAAGAGCCAGGGAGCTAGTCCTATCCTATTCATTCCTGCACAGGGAAGTCAAGCCCTGCAAGAAGCCTGGGGCAGGGTCCTGCCACACGCACATCTGTGACCCCATCTATTCTGTGCAGGGCTGCCAGCATGGACTTTGAGGCTCAGAGGCTGGCCGGTTTGGCAAGGTACCATGTCCATGAGCAGACTCAGGGAATACTTTGTCTTGGCCCTCAGGGCAGACAGGGGCACTGGACTGAACCTTGGACACAGAAGATGAATCTCAGCTGCCCAGGAAACTAACCAGTTTGCTAGAGGAAGGGCCTGAAGCTCAGGAGCAGGGGCTCCGCAGGATCACACCCTCCCTGGAAGAGCCTGTTGTCACTGCAACTCCATAGAGCCCTGGCTTGGCTGGCTGCTGGGGCACCCCCTTCCAACAACTGTGGAGCCTCTTCTACCCCTACCTTCTCTGCGGCTAGTGGAGTTTATGAAATCTCCCTAGCCCATAAATCACATTGAGAGCTGCCTTCTGTGCTTTCCAGCAGGCAGCAAGCCATTGAACAGGGGATGTCCTTTTCCTCTCCCCAGAGGCTCCTGCAAGTCCTCAACTGTGTCCTGTCATCAGGCCTAGAGTGGGGCAGTTGGGCGGATGCAAGCCACTCTTCAAGCTACTGACTCCAGCCCCCAACCCCTACCCCACTTCCAAGGCCTGTCTGGACCTCTCCTTCTTTCTGCAGAGGGCTGGCCACTGGGCCCCCAAGTCGAGTCAGTTTACGTTTCTTGAAGGTTGGGGGAAGACTAGGGTGCACCTGGAGCAGAAGGAGCTGAAGGGGCAGGTGGCAGTGTCTGGATTGTATTCACTGTGTCACCTGTCATATGACTGACCCCTTGCACATCAGTTGCCTCATTTGCAAAATGGGGTTTGCATGGGGATTCTTGAGGTTTCTCTAGGCCATAGTGTCCAACCCAGAACAGTACTTAGTCAAAAAGAGTTTGTAGCATGGCTGTTTGCTACTCAACAGCGTGTGGGTGACCTCTGGGTGCCAGGCCCAGCTCTGGGCACTGGGGTACAGACAGGCCATTTTCCTACCCATGCCCTCCATCTTCTGAGAGCTCCAGGCCCAATGGGGAGAGATATAAAACCCTAGGCAAGTTCAAAGTGCTTTGTAGCCTGAGAAGGGCATTGAGTCCCTAGAGTGGCCCAAGTCTAGAAGGGTCTGAATGTGGAACATGGGGGAGGGTGGGGGAAAGGCTACCTCTGTGCTTCCCTGGGCCTCAGTCCACCTCCCTAGGACAGAGTGCCCCAGGCTGGGCACAGATGATACCTCTCCAAGGACAGCACTTCAAATGGGCCCCGAGTTCCAGGGGTGGTGGCTTGTGGGGAGGTGAATGGTAAAGAGGAGAGTGAGTAGCATGAGAAATGAGGCTTTAAAAAAAACTTTAGATGATATTTTTTTCTGATTTCAAAGGCTTGTGTGCTTGTAAAACTCTCTGAAAAGTATAAAGAACTAAAAAAAACACCCATAATTGTACCACTCAGAACCACTGTTAACAATTTTCTGTCTTCCAGGGTTTTATGCATTTATATATATGTTATATATCTTTAAACAAAAATAGTATCATGCTATATACATTATTTTATAAGCTGCTTTTGCTCCCTACTCACACAGTATGTCTTTCCTTATCAGTGCATATAAATTTGCCTTAATTTTTACACAGGCTGCATAGCATTCTCCGTTGTACGTGCATATGTATTTAATCCGTCCCCCACAGGTGGACACTAAGATTATTTCCATTCTCCTCAAGGCCATTCTTGTAGCTTAGTCTCTGCCTACAACCCAGCTAGTTCCTTGGGCCCAGTTCCTAGAGGGGTGGTTGCTGGCTCCAAGGGTCTGCAGGAAGGTCCTGCTTCCAGAGGGTGGTTCAGGCAGCCAGCCCTCCCCACAGGCAGGGTGGCAGGAAGGGGAATTGGTTCTGGGATGTGCCCCATCCTAATGTTCTGCCTTTCTCTCTCTCTCTAGGGTCGAACCCCTCAGAGCCACCATCTTCCAGTACCCTGTGGGGTGGCCGCCAGTCCAAGAGCTGCCCCCATCCCTGAGGGCACCCCCACCAGGGGGGTGGCCCCTGCAGCCCAGAGTGCAGTGGGGCTGAGGCCCTTACCCATGCTTAACTCCCACTGGTCAGCTGTCTCATCCTTCACAATGAAAACACTTGTTTATACCAGGGAGGCCAACCCCCCTTCTTGCTCTATCCCAAGGAACCCCAAGACCGCGGCCTTGACTTCCCCAAGGCTCAGCAGCCCCTTTAGCAGCTGCAGCCCCATTCACCATCCTGACCTCCCTCATGGGATGTCTTGAGAAGATGAGCAAGAAAACTGCCAGATGTTTATAAAGAAAGTTTGTCCCCATGGTGGTTTGAGTGTGTTGCCCCCTGCCGGCATTCTCAGCTCCATTCTGCAGCCAATGGTGAGGGGGTGCAGAGGGCAGGGGTGGGACCAGGTCTTCTCCAGCGTAATGGTGCTTGCAGCCCTTCTCCCTTGAGGACCAGTGGAGGCTCAGCCCAGCTGGGCAGAGGGTGTGCCAGTGTGGCTGTGCCTGTCGCCTGGGTGTGCCCAGGCCTGATGACAGGAGGCCAAGGACTCCACCTGCCACCCCAGTTCTGGCAGAATTCGCAGCCCCTATGCCTCCCCATGCTGAGCTGGTTCCAAGCATTGGGGATGGCACACGAGGGACAAAGCAGGAGCTGAGTCTCTGGCCTGGAGGTCAGATAAGTGGGAGGGGAACAGGAGGGCAGGCTCTGAGCTGGCACTGACGGCACTGGGCTGTGCCACCCCCTGGCCCAGAGGCCCTCCCATGGTCCTGCTGGAGGAGCACCCTGACTGGTGGGAGGTCACACAGGCTGCTTGGGCTTGAGGCTGCTTCCTCAGTTGGACTACAGTTCTGGGGGGTAATATGGTCCTTGATCATTGGGCCTATGGTGGGGGGCCCAGAAGATTGGAGGTCTTAGAACCACCTCAGATGCTCCATCCTCCATGAGCTTCTGCCTTTCTTAAACATCCCTGTTGGGGGAAAACCTGAGGTCAGGTCTCAGGCCCATGGACTTCAGGCTTCTCACCTGTGAAATGGGCAGGCTTCACCCCAGCAGGTGCATAGTGGGGTGGGAAGGGCTGGGTTTGGGTCTATGGAGGGTCAAAGGAAGGAACCCAGGAGACCACAGCCTTGTGCCCTTTTCCAAGAGGAGGTTTTCGGTCCCCTGCTACCACTGCCTTGCCCATAGCTCAGGGCAAACCTCACAGACCAGAACTAGGGTTGGCTTTGTGGCCCTAGGCCGATGGCTGCCCTCTCTGCACAGGGGTTGCCTTTCCTGCCTTTGGGACCACAGCAGGGACTGGGTCTTGGGGGTCCCTGTACAAATCCCTCAATTTCCCAGGGGTCCCCAGATAGTGGGAAGAGTAGCGCTACATACAGGCCAGGGTGGGGGCACAGGCAAGATGTTGGGGGCCAAGGGCTGACTTGGAGCCACCACCAGATCCTCCACAGCCAGGCCACAGCTCCATGCAAGGCCCATGGGGCAAGACAGGTGGGGTCACCAGACATCCAGGCCCTGAAGTACAAGTGGATGAGCCAGCAGAGGGGGAGGGCTGCAGGCGGCAGTGGGTGTGGAGCGGCCTGGGCAACACATACACCAGACAGAGTGCCCAGCAGTGCCTATTTCATGCCGCTGCGCAGCACCTGGTTGGCCGCGATGAGCATGACGCTGATGATGAAGGCGATGGCAAAGGCGCAGATCAGACTCTTACGCACGCACGTCTGGCGGATCTGCTGGTTGGAGCAGGCTGTGGCCATCCACCAGGAGCACCAGGGAATGAAGAGAGAAGAGGACAGGGAAGCGATGGAATCAGGAGCTGCCAGCACTTTGGCATGTGGGCTCGACCCATGAGGGACACAGGGACATGAGGCTGGGATCGGATGGGAGACCCTGCAGCCTCCTTGTGCAAACCCCTGGTATGTCACCCTGCTCAAGCAGTTGAGCCCACCCATGGGTCCCAGGGGCCATTCACTTACTCTCCACGTCCACGGGGCACTCCTCAGCTGTGCCCAGATGGCTCTCTTCCTCCGTCATGATGATATTTTCTATATCCTTCATGGACAAGTGCTCACAGAAAGTGTCATAGAGCAGCCGCTTCAGCTCATCCACTGTCAGCTTCTGCATGTCGCACTTGGGTGGGGTTGGGGAGGGGGTAGTTTTCTGGCCACCACTCTAGCACAGTCACACCCATCACCCTGTAGCCATGCATGCAAACAGCAGTGCAGGCCCCCCAATTCTCAAGTACTGGAAACCACTCTCTCCATTGCCCCAGGGAGTCACTGACCAATAGCTGCTCTCCCAGGGAGCCCACGGCCTCCCAGGAGGTATTCATCTGGGAACAAAAGCCTGGGGTGATTACCCCCTTTACACAGTGGCCTTAGCTTAGCCATTTGCAGCCACAATCCCTCTCCACAGTGTGCACAACCCTGAGTCCCAGCCAACTGAGGCATACCTTCCAGAAGACGGTGTCGAAGTCAGTACCATGGAACTTCTCTGGGATCCCCGAGGTGGAAAGCTTGGGTCCTAGGAGCGTCACAAACTCCTCAAAATCCACCTGGCCGTCACCTAAGGTAGGCACAGGTCCAATCAGTAGGTCAGGAGGAAACAGCCTGGGAAGGCAGCCCAAGGCCAAGAGGACCTGAGATGGAGTCCTGGCCCATCTTCGGCTTACTACATGACTGACCTCAGGCAGGTGCTCCCCTTCCTGAGCCTCGAGTCAATTTCACGGGCACCTAACAAGCCTCTAGATGAGGTCCCACTGGGGAAAGTGTAGGTGGAGAGCAGCAGGTGGGTCCCCAGTGGGGCCAGCATGGGGGAAGCCCTCCCAGTTCCCTCAACCCTCTGTGGCTATCCAGCACCCTGATGCTGATGAGGGTGGGTATATGGCCTGGACATCCTCACTGTCATACAGATAGGAAACAAAGCAGTCACTCGCTAGCTTGGTGGGGAGGAGACCACAAGTGGGATAAAGCATAGGAGACTTGGCATCACTGGTCCTTACCAGTTTTTCCTTAATAAAGAGCTAGGTGGCAAATATAACCAAATGATTTTGTTTTGGGTCATGGGGATTGGAATATTTATACCATTTATTATATCCTTTCTACTTTCCTATACTTATTTATTTTGCAGTACTAGGGACTGAACCCAGGGACTTTGCACTGAGTTACCTCTCCAGCCATTATTATTATTATTTTTTTTTTTTTTTGGTACCGGGGATCAAACTCAGGACCTTGCGCTTGCAAGACAGACGGCAGCACCACTGAGCTAAATCCCTGGCCATTTCCAGCCATTATTATTATTATTTTATTATTTTATCATTTTGGTGGGGGTTTTTTTTGTACTGGGGATCAAACTCGGGTCCTTGTTCTTGCAGGGCAGGCAGTGGAACCACTGAGCTAAATCCCCAGCCCCCGTTTTGGTGTTTTTGAGACAGGGTGTCACTATGTATCCCAGGCTGATCTTAAACTCACAGTGGTCCTCCTCCCTCAACCTCTTGAGTGCTGGGATTACAGGTGTGCACTACTATACCCAGTGTCACTTTTTATTTTAAATTTTGAGGCAGGGTCTACCTAAGTGGCTAAATTGTCGAGGGCAGCCTTGAACTTGTGACCCTCCTGCCTCAGCTGCTCAGAGTGCTAGGATTACAGGTGTGCACCACCACAGCTGGCTTTCTGTTTTGTTTTATTTGTGATACAGTCTTGCCATGTCACTCAAGTTGGCCTCAAACTCGTGATCTTCCTGCCATAGTCTCCCAAGTACAGGGATTACAGGCATGTGCCACCATCCCCAGCTAGTTTTTCCCTACTTTAGTATGTTTTAGACTCTGTAGTGAAAGGAGCAGCCCTTTGACCCCCCACATCTGGCTGGGGCTGTCATATTCTCTTTGGCCTCAATTCTCCAGGCTGAGAAATGAGGTCACACTTACATGGGCTTTGAGGCAGCTTGAAGTGGGGTGAGCAAGAAGCCCAAGGTGGGCTCAGCCTCAGTAGCTCAGACCCCAGACCTTGCCCCACCCCAGGGTCCAAGTGACAGGTGAGGAAACTGAGGCAGGGAACTCACCGTCCATGTCCAGCCGCTGGATGATAACCTCCAGCTCCACCTCGTTGGGCATGTATCCCAGGGAGCGCATGGCTGTGCCCAGCTCCTGCTTGGAGATGAAGCCATTGCCATCCCGGTCAAACACCTTGAAGGCCTCTCGGATTTCTGTGGGGGGAACAGAGCAGGCTGGGCCCTCAGCCTTGTCCCCAGCAGGCCCCATCCCAGACCCCCAGTACCTGAAAGTCCAACCCTGGGGCTGCAGATCCAGGGTGATCCCAGGGTGCACTCTTGCTGCTTTCTGAGGACCCTGGGCAGGCTAGGCCACATGCAAAGGTGTACTTGGCCCGAGGCAGTGACTAAGTGTGCCAAACTCCCACAGCCTCTCCTGGCATGCTCACAACCACCCCGTGTGGTGGGTTTAAGGAGGGTGCTGGGCTCACCAGGTGATGACAGCTGCTGGATGGAGGTTCTTCCTACCCCCACTCGTCCCAGCTTCCCAGACCCTAGCCCCTCATCTCCATCCCACTGGGCTTCCCAAGTCCCAGCTCCCTAACACCAGCCAGCATTCACTAATGGTGGCCACCTGAAGCAGCAGCAGCTTCAGCTAATAGGCTGACAGCTCATCATAGGCTGCTTCTCAGTTTGGGGGAAGGTAAAGGTGGGCTGGAAGACCCCCAGCAGGCCCAGCCCAGATCAGATACAGGGGTCACCTTTTTATTATATGGAGGGGAAGACTGAGGCCTGAGGACCTGGGTGACACAGGTGAGGAGCAACACACTTGGCTTGGACCTTGGGACCAAGCAACTCAATGTTTATCCTTGGGCTGCCTCAATCATATCTACAGAAAAATGGGTAGAATGGTGAAGATGACAAAGATGGCTAGGAACTGTTGAGGGGGTCCTGGTCTCTTAACCTTTGCTCCACCTTTGTTTCTCTGTTGCTGTCCCTTATCACAACCCCATCCTGACCCCAAACAGCAGCCCCTTCTTGGGGGACAGATCTCAGCCCACTAGCTTCTGCTCCCTTGGTGGGGATTTCAACAGGGTTTGAGTGCGTGTGTGTGTGTGTGTGTGTGTGTGTGCGTGCGTGTGCGTGTGTGTGTGCACAGACACATGCAATACCCCAAACTGTGGACCCCAGAAACAGGTGCAAATAAGCTAGGCAGCCAGCCTGGCTGAGAGGGGGTCAGGGCTAATGCTACTAGTCAGGCTGGCCCAGGCCTTGACCTAGACCTAGGGGTCTGTGGGTCTTGAAACTGCTTACAAGATCCTCCACTCTTATCTTAGGAGGAAACAGGAGTCAACCACAGACCAGGGACCATGGCCCACACCAAGGTGACCTGAGCTAAGGCCCCATCTCCCATCAGGCTCTCCCCACCTGCCATCTGCATCCAAGGTCTGGAGGTCACAGTCTCACATGTAGGCTGAGAAGGACACTAGGCTGTCCCTGAGCTGTCTGTGCCCCTGGACCCATCTGGTGCAGGGCCTGAGACTCTGGTCCCCAACCAGTGGCCCTTGGGCCAGGGAACTAGCTGGGCTGGGAGGTCTGGACCAAGCCCAGGAGTTTCTGCAAACCCCAGATGCTGAGAAATCCAGGCCAACTCCCACCCAGCATTTTCCTGGGCCACTGAGGAAGCAGTGAGTTCCCCATGACCAGAGGTGTGTAACAAGCAGCCCAGCAGCTCCTGGGAACTTCAGCCCCAGGGGCCCTCTCAGCCTTGGTGAGCCCCAGCACTGCTCCACTTCCAGCCTCTGAATATGCAGCTGCTTTTGCCTGGAATGCTGTTCTGGTCCCCAAGGCCAACTCAGATGCAGCCTCAGTTCTCAGTTCCCAACTCCATCTCCCCATGCATGACCTTTCTGCCTGCCCCCTGCTGACTTTGGCCTTCCTCTGGGTCCCCACAGACCTGTTTTTCCCCCACACTGCCTCGTAAACTCTGAGTGCTATGAGAACAGAGACTTGGTAAGTCTTGTTCATAGTTTTCCCATTACCTGGAGCAGGGCCTGTCACTTGAGCATAAACATTTGCTGAATGATGAAAGAAATGAATGACATGAGGAACCCACTCACTGGAGCACTCAGAGCTCACACCATCACTGTGTAGCCATCACTCTGAGCCCCAAACAGTCCCAGCCAAAGGAAGCACTTGCAGGGCCGGGGATTTAGCTCAGTGGTTCTGGCGCCTGCCTCGCAAGCGCAAGGTCCAGAGTTCGATTCCCAGTACCAAAAAAAAAACAAAAACAAAGGAAGCACTTGCTTTCCACCCTGCAGCAGCCAGAAGCAGGAGGGGAGGATGAGGAGGCTGTCTCCTCATCCCAGCACGCGGTGGCCTGGTCCCCATTCACACTATGGGTCATCCACAGAAGAGGGAAATGGAGCTGAAGGGCTGGTTTGGGGAGGTCCTAGGGTCAGGACTCATAGCTCTCCAAGTCCTTGGTTTCCCCCTCCGTAGAGGCCCATTTAGGAGCTCTCAGGGTCAGGTGGCAAAGCCCTGCAGCACAGTGGGGGCTGGAGTGAGAGCCACCCACTCCCCTTGCTGTGAGCTGGGGTACAGACTGTTCCCCTTTCCTAGCAGGGGCCAGGGCTGGCCACCAAAGCCCAGGGCTCCCTCAACTACATCCCAGTTCTCTTCTTTGGAAGTCCGTGGAAAAGCACAGGGCAGGGAGAAGACCATAGAGGACAGCAGGCAAATCTTGGGGTATATGGGCAGACAACAGGCTCTAAGGCAGCCGTGAAGGCCCTGTGGCTATCCCTCAGGCAAGGCTAATCTCTTGGGGTCATTAAGTAAAGCCACAGCCTGTCACCTCCCCATCCACGGGTCTCTTCACCCACTCTTCCTGGGACACCCAATTCACACCACCATCTGGGAGCCCTGCCCCAACTCATCCCCTTCCGCCCAGAGGCCCAGTTCAGGTGCCACCTTCTCTGCCTGTTGGTCACAAAGACCCAGGTTCAAATCCTAGTCTCCTCCATCTTGGTTGGGTGACCTTAGGCAGCAATTTGTTCACCTGTACAATGGGATTTGCTGAGATGATAAAGCAAGAAAATCAAGCATGTAAGTGTTCAGCCAGGCCTGGCTCGGAGATGGACGCTATAAATCAGACTGTCCCAGATGGCAGAAATGGGAGGAGAGCAAGGACTGGGTGAGGTCAGGACACCAGGCTGGTCGCCCACTGGCAGAACTGGGACCAGAGACCTGGGCTTGAATCCTGGCTTTGCTGCTCACCAACCAAAAGACCTGAATAAGACACATCCCTCTCTGAGTCAGGTACCCGACTGTGAAGTGGGATGAGACTCTGCCCCATGGGCTCCTAACGCCTCCTGGAGGGTCCCCAAGTGTGGTGTTATGTCTGCCACTCTGTGCCATCAGCATAGCGTGGCTGGATGCATTTCCCCGAGAGCCTTGCTCCCTTCCCTCCCTGTGAGACCAGAGGAACCCTGCCGTGCTCCATCTTGGCATGTAGATGCCTGGCCCGGGAATGGGCTGGCAGGGCCGCCAGGTTTCCAGGCTGATATTGTACCCCACCTGCCACCTCATCCCTCAGTCCCCTGCCCACACTGTGGAGCTGTGGCAGGGTCTGAGCCCCAGCAGGCCCCAAAGGACACATGAGCATTCTGGTAGAGAGCTGGGGTTGGGGGAGCACGGGATGGAGGTCACTGGAAGGGGCAGTGTCCATTCTCTGCAGTGCCAGCCACTCTCGGCAGCATTGGCCCTGCGCCCCACCTCTCCAGCCTCCCTGAGTTTTTGGTATCTGCAGAGGTGTCTGCTGGTCTTAGGCTGCAGGTATCAGGGTCAGGAAGAGAACTCCCCAGCCTATCCCTGGCTAGAAGGCCACCATTTGGCCATTCTCAATCCAAGGTCCACTACTGGCCTAGCCAGGTGAAGTGTCAGCCCCAGACCTTTGCCTTGGTGGCCATCTGTCTGCCTGCCTCCTTTCTTCTCTCTCTGGCCAGAAAGGGTGAGGGTATGCAGCCACCCGCATTCCCACTTCGGCACTCCAGCCCGCTGATGCCTCAGGACAACCTCAGTGCTCCTGGAAGCCTTGCTGTAGGTGCACATTGGAGAAGGGGTACACAGAGGGAATGTGAGAGAGAGGGAATGTGAAAGAGCCCCTGCCTCTTTCTCACAGGAGCTGGTGGTCCCCAGGCCAGCTCTACCTAGCCACATCCCTACTCTGCCAATTGTCATCCATGGCTCCCCAGGACCATGAGGAGCCAGGTTCTCAGATGTCTCTGCTAGACCCAGCCTTGGCCCCCAGCTTTCCCTCCTAGCCCACCCATGTACCCTGTGTAGCCCTATGTACTCCAAGCTTTTACCCCTTCTGGGGTCCCCCACCTTCATCTTCCCTGCCGCCAACACTTGGGCCCCCAATCCCCCACTGCCAGATCCTGTGCTGAGTACTTCCATTATATCCTCTACCACCAGCAACCCTGGGTAGGGCAATCCCAAACCCCACTTTTACAGATGGGGAAACAGGTTCAGAGAGGCAAGTGATTGCCCAAGGTCACTCCATGAGCCAAGGATGCAAAGACTTGAACCCAGCATTATCTGGCTGGGAAACCCTCATTTTAACCCTGGACTCCCCATCTCCTTTCTTAGTCCCCCTCACCACGCAGACTGACTGCTCCCTGGATTTCTGCCACAAGGAGGCATGCACATCTGCAGCATTTATCCCAGGCCACCCAGCTCCTTCTGGACACGTGGCTCCCCCACAGCTAGTCTTCTCCCAGCAAAGGGCCTAGATCTTACTCAGACTGCCCTGGGGCAAGAGCACTAATGGGCACTGGAGAAGCAGAGGGGAATCTGTATCAGGGACAGGCACTCTCCACCTAGCCCTGGCACTCAAGGACCACTGCAAGGAGCCCAGGACCTGTGAGGGCTTTGGGGGTTCCTACATCCAAGAAGGGGGACAGTCATGGGGAACTTCTTGCCTTCATCTGTACAAGATCACAGGCTGGTAGATACGCTGGGGCCACTCAGGCATCTCCTGGCCCCATGCCACCCATCCAATGTCCCCAGAGAGGGCTCTGTCCTTCAGGTGCCCCCTGCACCAAGGCCCCTCTGCTGGCCCAGGAGAGGAGGCCGGGAGAGAAGCAGGGAGTGTGTTTGGTGTGATGGTGACTAACATCACTGGGCTCCTGCCAGCATGTCCTCTGGACCGCCCAAAGGGAGCCCGCAGCCTCCCCGTCCCTGCATTGCCCACCCTGTGCCCTCCTCACCCCTGCAGTCCAGCCTCTTCTCAGAGTTCCCCTTTTCTCCGTATGCAGCCCAGACCTGGAGGATCAGCAGGGGGACCCAGCAAGGCTTGGAGCTAGGGTTCCAGGCTCATTGTTAGGGTCCTGGGAACTAGGCAAGGGAATGAGGTGGAAGGTGTCTGGGGTCTGGGGAGACATGCTGACCTCTGTCCAAGTGACTAAGGGGAACCAGCTTCTGCAAAAGTAAATTGGCAAGAGGTTTGGGGTGGTCCAGAGCAGGAAGGAATGAAAGTGGGGAAAAGATGGGCTATGCCCCACCTCCTGCCCTCCTGCACCTCACATTCCCCTCTCCTTTTCCCAGGCCCTGGAAGAGAGTCCTCACCCTGAGTTTTGGCCCAGGCAGAGCAGGACCAGGGCTTTGAGGGTGAATGGTAAGGTCAGGTCAGGGGCACAAGCGTATCTCCATTTGTCCTGCTGGCATCAGAGGCCAGACCTGGCCTCCGCGCTCTCCTGGCAAGGTTTTCAGAGGAGTAGGTGAGGAGCAGGTGCCTCCTGGCCTGTGGTGCAGTGAGTGAGGTGGCAGCTGCCTTCTTTCTCTGGATCTTCCCTTGATCCAGTCTGATTCCCCCAAGATCTGCCCCTACCCAGGCTTGGGGATGAGGAAGGACCTCCCTCCATGGCTTTCCCTGGGCTCCTACCATTATCTCTAACTGTACTGGTCCTTCAGCTGCACCCTAGTAGGCCCTGATGAGCTCCCAGATCTCAGAGACCCTCTGCCCAAGGTACCCAGAGAAAGGCCCATCCTCTGGATGATCTCAGTCCCTCCCCGAGCGACAGACAAGCAGATCCTAAGAGGCCACGACTCCCATCAGCCGGAGAGCCCCCAACTCCACTCCATATGGGCCCCCAGGAGGTCTGGGGGGAGGGGAATCCAGAGCACCTCCCCTAGCTCAGCTGGGAAAGAGCTGACAGGGCCCCAGGGGGCTCACTGTTCTCCAGGACACTCAGTCTGGGGACCCCAGACCCTGCACCCTGTTCTCTTTTCTCCCAGCCAACTCTCTGCTGCCCCCATTCCCGTCAGAGAGCCAGAGAGAACAGGGTGGGGGCAGGTTTGGGTCCCAGCCTCTGTGCTTTTCCCTTCCAGGTTTGGCTATCGCGACTGAGCCGCCCAATCCGGCCACTTGTTGTCGCCACTGCCTCCCAAGCTGCCTTCCTGGCGCTCTGGGCTGGGGGTCCCCGAATGGGTGCGGGGAAGGGGCTATGGCCACCAGAGTGGATGGGGACGGCCCGCAGCGGGCAGGAGCAGGGCGCTCGCCCTCTCCCCTTCTCCTGCTACCCGAGCAGATTGGATTTTTAAAGGTACACGAGCGGAATGTCAATGCGAGCGCAGAGCCACGGGCGGGCGCCGCGGAGGGGACCAGGATGCGGGTGCTCCGGCCGGGCCGGCGCTGGGGGCGCAGCTCGGACCCCCAGCCCAGCCGGCCGCGTTGCTGCACCGTCACCGCGGGCTGCGCGGCCCCGTGACCCCGCTGCGGGGCCCGGCAAGTTTCCGCAGCGCAGGGTCCACGCGGGAGGGGGTGGGCCGCCCCTCCTTCTCGGCGACCCCCACCACGGGTCTGGCCGCCCGCACGGCTGCTCTCTGGAGCCGCCCACCTGGCTGCCGGCACCTGCGGAGAGCCCCCCGCCCCCCGCGCCCCTGGCCCGCGCTTCACCTGGGCGCACAGGTAGGAGGGCCGGCGGGCAGGGGTCCCGGCGGGCACTCACCCTCCAGCTCGTCCTCAGGAATGTCCACCGGGCGCTGCTCCGACAGCAGGTTGGGCACGGTGTAGATGCCCCGGTACATCAACGCCGCCGTCACCGGGTGGAACGGCATCTTGGAGGTTCCGCGCCCGCCCGCCGCAAACTTTGAGGCCGGGGCTCATCGGCCGGCGGCGGCGGCCCCGGGGGCGGCGGGAGCGGGCGGGGCGTGCGGATGCGGAGGGCGGCGGCGGCGAAGCAGGGGGCGCCCCTTGTGGGGGCCTAGCGCCCCCGCGCCCTGGGCCGCCCGGCCATGCCGCCCCCTCCTTCGTTGGGCTCCCGGCTGGGGCCCCGCAGGGGCGGCGGGGGCGGCGCCGCTCGGGCCTCTCCTCTCCGCTCGCCGTGCGCTGCGCCCGCCGCGCCCGCTCTTCTGTGCCCCGCGCGCTCCGCGCTGCTCGCCGCCCGCTTGTCCGCTCGTGTGCTCGCCGGCGCGGCCGCCCGGCCAGCGGCTCAGGCTCTACCACCTCTCCTGCTGGCTGCTCGCTCTGTGCCGCGCTCGCTGCGCTCCCCGCCTCCCCCGCCCGCCGGCCGGCCGCCCGCCCGCCCCCTCCGCGCCCCCCCTTCCCGCCGCCGGCCCCTGAGCTGCCGCCCCAAGCCCGCCGGAGCTCCTGCTCCCCTTCAGCCCCGATTCCCCTTTTCCCCAGGGTCTCTCTTCTCCCCCAGCCCCACGTTCGAAGCCACCAGGACCAAAGTAAGGGTGGCTTGGGGGTGGAGCCCTTCCTTCACCGCGCCCTTTGGCCCAGCTGCCCCCACGTTCCCCCTCCAACCTGGAGCTGAGAGCTGGGAACTGAGGACCGGAGACCCAGAAAGGTGAGGTTGGTCCCGGGCGTGTGGGTCCTCAAGAAGTACCACGGTGCTGGCGCCAGGAGAGGCTTCAAGGTGGGGAAACTGAGGTTTAGAGAAGGACGTTGCCCAAGGTCATGGGACAGGGACAACAGGCAGGAACTGGCTCTAGGTCTGTGGCTGACACCAACAGCTGACTTCAACCCCCACAGTGGGGCCCCACTTCTGCATCCTTTCCCAGTGGCGACTCAGCTTGCAGAGGGGAGCCGGGGTCTGTCTGGTGGCTCCAGGGACAGTGAGGATAGAGACGTGGCCCAGAGACTGTGGGGTCTGAGGTTTGAGCCTGTCAGTCCACGTGGCTGCAGGGCAGACCTAATGTGTGTGCTCAGAGCAAGTGTGGGGGGACAGCATGTGGGTGACTGTACCTTTTATGCACGAGGACGGGTATGTACCATTGGGTGTATGTACGTGCACTTCAAGTCCATGTGCACATGGATAAGTGTCATGAGTGTGTACGACCACCTGTGTGTGCCAAGGCTGTGAGCTGGCAGAAGAGGGGACGAGTCTGTGGGCAGGTGGGAGCAGGTGTGCAGTTCCTCGGGCACATGGCATGGACACCTGTGTGCAGATGTTCATGTACACTTATGGGGGATAGGGACCTTCTGGCCTGGGCCAGCCAGGCCTCTGGGTCCCATCCCTGGAGCCCCCATTGGAACCACCCCCCTGCCTCCTTGGGTCCAATCAGCCTAAGGCTCCAGCAGGAAAGCTGATTGCCACAGCCCTACCGAGCCCTGCCCTTCCCTAGCTGATTACATTTTTCTGCTTGTTTCTGCTTCTGTCACTGATTAATCACAGCCCTGTCTAGGGGCCTGGGGAGAGGGACTCTGAGAGATCTGAGCCCCAGCACTTTTGGGGAGCTGCTCTGAAGGGAGCTCCTGGCGGCATCCACAACTGGATGCAGGGCAGGGGGGAAGGACCCCAGCTCTGTGTCTCCCCAGGGCTGCCTATTAGGACCCAAGGCTGGAGGTGTGAGAGGCCAGGGAAAAGCCCCTACCTCTAAGCTCCTCTTGTCCACCTGCTCCACTGTCCGACCATCCACCAATGCAATAGAATGCTTTGAGCTCCCTCGGGGGTTTCTGATGGCGCAGAGATGTGAGGAAGAAAGAACACAGCACCTGGAGCCAAGAAGACTCCAGACTCCTGCACTTGCCACCTCCTTACTAAGAGACTTTAGTCACATCCTTTAACCTCCCAGGGCCTCAGTTTCCCCACCTGTAAATTGAGGGTGTTAATGCTGCTTCCCAGATCACAATGAGGATGAACTGATGTAACCTATAAGAGGTGCCTGGCAGCAACCTTTGAATCTCTTGGGAGTTTCCTATTAGCATGAAAACCCCCCTGGGAATATGAATTAATAATCACAGCACGGAGTATTGATTGAGAGTGTGAAGCGCAGCAGCAGCTCACTCCTTGGTATTTGGTGGGTGCCCCAGCTCGGCCAGCCAGTTTGAAGTCAAGTTGAGGGAAAGCACACTGGAGCAGGCCGAGGAGCTGGCAGAAAACCCAGCTCCCAGCGACTCCCTGGGAGTCAGAGGTGTTGACACTTGCCTGTTGAGGGTAGGGAAAGCTACCCTTGGGTAACCTGAAGCTCCTGACCTTACTGCCCAGATGGAAAATTTTCAGAAGAAGGGGCAGAAACAGTCCCTGAATGAATCAAGCCCAAATCAAGCGAGCCTCCCTAGCACTGCAAGGCCCTGCGAATCTGTGCTAAGAGAAGGCATAGATGTCCGCAGAGCCACAAACCTCCTCCATGCCTTGGGCTTGGTCTGTGACCAAGGGGTGGGGCTTTCTTCTTTGTGACCAGGGCACTCCCTGGGGCAGGCTTCCTCCAGGGTAAAGGAGCAGGGTCCACTGGAGGCTATAGCTCTTAGGTACACCACCCTGCTTGGGCCATCTTTGTCACCCAAGTCCTCGGGTGACTCAGGTCAGTCCCTGTCCTCTCTCCTACTGCAGAGCTATAGGCCATGACACTGGCTGCCAATCCAGTGAGTTGCCAGCCAGCACCAGGCTTCCATGTGCCATGAGCTGCACCCATTCTGTCTGCTGGGTGGGTACATGAGATGCACCTAATCCATGCATGCCACCTGCTGATTCTCCACATGCCCCACCCTCTGAGCAGTCAGAGCTCTGCATGGAGAAGGCTTCATAGGCAAAGACATGCCCACTCAGGGAGCTGAAAGGACCAGACTGGGTCATACAGTGCTACCAGGCAGAGCTGGGGTTGGAGCCCAAGGCAGGGCAGGGGCTCCAGGGGCCAGGCTCTGGGCCATGCCAATCTCTCCCTGCTCTTGCAGCTCAGCTAGATCTCTGTGGCCTCTGGGGACCACTGCTGGCTTCCTCTACCTTCCTCTCCTGTACATTGAGAGTCTCTGGACAGCCCTAGGAGCCAGGCCCTGCATGCCAGGCCAGGACTCAGAGGGTCAGGAGTTGTTCATGCCTAGTGCTCACAGAACAAGGGCACAGGTCTGGGCAGTATGACTGAGGGTCTAGCTCACACTATCTGCTGAAAGGTTGGGGGGGCGGCTTTTACAGGAGGACAGGGTGGGAGAGGCAGTGCCCTGAGCAACCAGAGCTCTGCATGCAGAAGCCTGGGCTCTGTGTGAACTCTCTGAGCCTGAGCCTACTCACCTGTTAAATGGAAGCATACCTAGCCCACTGAGTGAACAATAAGATTCTGCTCAGTTCATAGAATGGGGTGGCTCTTACACAGTCTGAGGCATTCCAGGGGAGAGAAGCTAGGGTGGGGGAAAGCTCAGAAATATGAGATTGCTCATATTCTTGAGGCCAGCATCCGAGTCTGCATTTCTTAGGTCCCCCATACATGGCACAGGGCTGGGTTGGGCTCAGGAAGGTGAACATCTGTCTACTGAGAGAATGAATGAATGATTGCTTGCCCAACAGCCCTTTAGCCTGGCAGCCCTGTCCTCTCCTCTATGCATCATGGGAGCAGATGGTGTGATCACAAGGTGTGAATTATGTCTGTCACTCCCCCACTCTGGGGAAGATGCTGCCACCATCACACTGGTGCCCACCCGGAGATGTAGGGGCCTCAGGGCTTCCCCAAAGGCCTCTCCATGGACTTGTCCACTGATCCTTAGCTCAGGAAGTTGTAGACACTAGGAGAGCTGGGAGTTTCCCCAAGTGTCAGGGAGGTGAGGGAGGAGAAGTTGGGGGTCATCATGTCTAGAGGCCAGACCCCTTTCCTCCCCAAGACCAAGGTCTTTGCCTCTGAACACTGGAGCCCTCTCTTCTCAAGATCAGCATAATTGTCTTCTAGACCTCGCCTCTGTCACCAGCATCCTCTTGCCATCCTCATTCAGCACCAGGGAGAGCTCCAGGGCCCAGCTGTGTAGGGTGAAATGGTGGAGGGCCAGGGAGAGCCTGCCACAGCAGTCAATGAACTCATTGTCAGGAGGAGGAAATCAAAGTAGAGAGAGGGTAAGCACCAAGTTCAAGGTCATGACCGGACCGCTGACCATAACCCTGCCTGAGCTCGTGGAGGGAGGTGGAGAGTATCTGTGGTGAGGAGGGAGTGTCCAGGGACAGCAGAGGCTCTGGCCTCTGCTCCTTGGCTGGCGAACAATATTGTTCCAAGAACCCACTGGGGACAGTGTCTAGAGGTGAATAAAATATTCATTGTTCAGGCAAACTTACACAGTCACTTGATGAATAATGGAATTTATAGACTTGGAGATACAGGCAGGGCCAGGAGAGGGTGCAGTCCAGAACCTGGGGACATCTGTCTGCTCTGGTCCCTGCTCTCCTCTGGCCCCCTCTCTGGCTCCTCAGGGCCCATGCAGCTCCTGATAGTGATGGGAGTGGACAGGACATCTGGGAAGAGAGTCCATCTGAGGGCAAAGGGGAGTGGCCCTTAAGCTTGTTTCTCCTTGACAAGCAACTTGGGGATGGAAAAGGCACACTGGAGGCAGAGTCCAGTGTGACTGGAATGAAGCCTGGCTGCTGTCACCAACTCTGTACCCTGAATGTGGCACCTGCTCTGGACTTAGTTTCCTGTCTTGTAAAATGGGATTGCTGCTGTCACCACAGAGCCTGCTGCAAGGATCTGCTGAGGCTAAAACTTTTGAGCTTCTTTCTGGCCCCTAGAATTTCCTGAGCCCAGGAGTCATTGAGCTGGAAGACAGAGGAGAAGGCCACAGGAGGGGAGGTGCTTCTGGCCCTCGGGGCCAGGTTTGATGTCCATAACCACAAAAACCCAGCTAACTGTGCACACATTCAGGGATAGCGCTCCC